ACAGAATCTTCTGGAGGCATTTTCTCCATTGAGATTCCTTCCTCTCAGATGACTATCGCTTATGTCAGGTTGATGTGAGACTTGCCAAGCACAGATGGTGTGTCAGACCATGGAGCTGTGAGAGGGGCCAAGGAAGCAGAGAGAAGAGGCAAGGCCCCAGAACTAGGAGGGACAGGCTTATCTCAAAACTTACATAACTTTTCAATGTTGTTTATGTAAAAGTGGGGACCACATTCTGACTTGGCATCCCTAATAGGTTCTCAGTGGCAGCTTTGTCCCAGAGTCTTTGCTTCTCTTTCCTTGTGAAGAACCATACGATTGGCAGAATGACTCTTAGGAGCAGTACTTTGGCAGCCAGTTGCTTCCGAGGAGTGTTAGCTAAGAACAGCTTGACAGTGGTAGTAGGAGTAGTTGTGAGAAGTAGCTCATGAACTAAGCAGGCACACAGGCTGCACAATACCTGGCAAAGGCCTGGATAAAAGGTGGTCATGTGAGCTGCAGAGATGGCGCTTCACTTAAGAGCACTTGTTGCTTTTGCAGAGGACCTGAGTTCAGTTCCCAGCTCACAACCATCTGTAGCTCCAGTTCCAGGGACCTCTGTGGGTAGTGGACATGTGCATGGTGCACATACATATGCACAGGGAAACCTTCATATCCATAAGGTAAAATAAATATGCAAAAATAAATAACAGGATGACACAGATCTCTTTTCTGTTGGAAATTCCATGTTTTTTATGTTTTGAAACCGGATGTTGTGATGCCTCCACCTTTGATCATTTCGCCTAGGATCACATTCACTCGGGTTCTCTCTCTCTCTCTCTCTCTCTCTCTCTCTCTCTCTCTCTCTCCCTCTCTCTGTCTGTCTGTCTGTCTGTCTCTCTCTCTCACACACACACACACACACACACATACATAATATATACATATACACATACACGTACACACACACACACACATACATAATATATACATATACACATACACACGCACACACATATACATACATTCCATTTTCTAGAAGCGTGTCTGATTCCAGAAGCCCCAGGGAATTTTGACTTACAATAGAGGTAGTGGCTGCTGCTTTGTCTCCTCCATCTTCATCCAGTAGGTCCAACGACCCCAACTGTGTGCTGGATGGAGTGGGGCATCACCCACCCTCATCCCGTGCTAGGGTTCCACGTTGTTAAAGCAGCTTTGCTCCAGGAGGATCTGGTAATTAATCTGTCACTGTGTCACCATGGCAACATATTTATGTATCTCAAATGCCATGAGCCCAGGGGGTCAGGATTTTAAAATGTCTTTATCTAGTGCCCTAGCTAGAGATTAGCAGTGGATTATGTTGTAGCACAGAGAGCAGGCTGCTTGGGTCCTGGGCAGAGAAGACTTAGGGAGCTAATGTCTACTTCTCCTTTAGAAGGGGCTGAGATTTTATTAAGGGCTTGAGGACCAGCAGACCCTTTGGAGCTCATGAGACATGTTATGATCTGTGAGAAACAGTAAGAGAATCCTCCCCCTCCTCCACTCCCTTGGGAGAGCATGAAGAGAAGGCGGAAGTGAAGATCCACCCCATGTGGTTATAGGTGACATTCTCTTTTGTACCCAGGCTTGTGGTGCTTTTATGCTAGAGCTGGGCTAGGAATTCGAATCCAGTTTTGCCAGAATGGCATGAGAAATGAGAGAGAAAAAGAGAGAGAGAGAGAGAGAGAGAGAGAGACAGAGACAGAGACAGAGACAGAGACAGAGACAGAGGGAGACAGAGAGACAGAGAGAGAGAGAACAGTAGGACCACAGGTCAGGAGAGAAAGGAGTCAGATAAATGTCAGAAAGAGAGCAAGAGGATTACAAACTGTAGGGGCAGCAAAATACCTCACAGGAAGCTTTCAGGGGAAGGTATTCAGTCACAAGGAATCTGTGGTATACAGTAGGACAGGTTGGTTGGGAGACAAACAGGTACAGGGCAGTCTTAAATCTATTTGGTTTTGTGCATGTGTGTGTGTGTATGTGAGTGTGTGTGAGTGTGTGTGTGAGTGTGTGTGAGTGTGTGTGAGTGAGTGTGTGAGTGTGTGTGTGTGTGTGTGTGAGTGAGTGTGTGAGTGTGTGTGAGAGTGTGTGTGTGAGTGTGTGTGTGTGAGTGTGTGTATGTGAGTGTGTGTGTGTGTATGTGAGTGTGTGTGTGTGTGTGTGTTCATGAATGCAAAGGATGGACAGCCCCCGAGACTTGAGGTCAAGGACAGTATTGTTTTAAGATGGGGGGGAGTTTATATGCGGAGGAAGAGCTCCTTTATAGGGAGAGGTTGTGGGAGCAGGAGGGAGGGGGTTAGTTGCTACAGGAAAGAGTCTGCAGAGGTGGTGCAGGCTCAAAGCAGACCGCCATCCTCAGCATTTTGTTAACATTGGGCTGGTACATAACCTGGGGAGTGAGGAGCAGAGGCTGGGAAGCACTGAAAACGATGCCCAGCTGGGACCACTGGCTCTCACTTGGCTCAGTTCCCTCAAGCATCAGGCCTTTTCTTTCTGTTGGTTCTGACTCTGGGCAGATTCCGTCTTAGGAGCCATTCCTCACTTCTGTATCATGCTCCTGCCCCAGACATTCTAGTGAGGCCTCAAAGGACTTTTTCACTTGGCCACTCCCGTGGTGGATCCTTTCATCCTGTTTAAGGAAGTGCAAACACTGATATGGTCAAGATACTTTACTTGAAAGCATCACTAAAGAGATGTCAAGATTGAGAGATTGAGGTCAGAAGGACAATACTCTCAAAGATTAGGCAAAGGGGGTTTTGTTTTGGTTTTGATTTTCACAGGAAGGAGTGAACCAGTACTGCCAGAAAAACCTGGACAGGAAAGGGGGTAAAGGCAGGCCATAGTTGGAGGGGTGTGGAGAGTACTCCTCTTGGGTTCTTAATTTATTAATAGAATTTAGAAACAAACTTAGGAGGGAGACTAACAATTTCATTAGTGAAAAATTTCATTAGCTATTAAGACAGAAATAAAGCAAGCAAGCCATAAATCTCAGCAGTGGTTAGAAGGAGCGTGATAGAAAACAGGACACTTAGTCGGGCAGTGGTGGCACACCCCTTTAATCCCAGCACTTGGGAGGCAGAGGCAGGTGGATTTCTGAGTTCGAGGCCAGCCTGGTCTACAGAGTGAGTTCCAGGACAGCCAGGGCTACACAGAGAAACCCTGTCTCAAAAAACAAAAAACAAAAAGATAAAAGAAAAAGAAAAAAGAAAACAGGACGCTCTAGTAATGTTGGGGGACAGAGGCAGAAGAGGAGGGAAGCTTTGAAAAACAGATCGAGGAAGCCCCAGTTATTTGGGAAAGCATGTTTAGGCTTCAGCCAGTGTCTGAAAGAAAAAGAAGGGAGACTAAAAGGAGTAAATTGACTTTTAGGCTGATGGCTAGCTGTGGAAACTCTGGGGAACCCACTTTGGGGTTCCAGAAAGGGCAAGGGCATTATCTCATTGGGGGGGGGGTAATTATTTCTCCCTGTCCTTAGCATGGCTTTCAATTTATCGTTTCCTGAGGGTTGGTGTCTTAGTCAGGTGATTGACAGCCCAGATGGGAGGAGACAATGTATGTAAAGTTCTACTCTTTGCAGCTGATCAGAACGTCATCTCCACCCAGGTCCCGTGATAGATTCCATTCTTTTTACAGGGAAGAAATAACTTCCTTTAATAGGCCTCTACAGAGCCCTGATATCCTTAATGGCCTCTAAGACTACTGTGACATTTCACCTCAAGAGTTAAGACTCTGAAATTACTTAGGAGATGGGCTGAAACTGAACAATAGCTGTAACTCCTTTCCATCATGAAAGCTTAGAGGCCCAGTTCCAAAGCTGTCCAGAGGATTTAGAAGTTTGGGTCATACTTTGTATGCAGCCCCCAGACATGGTAGCTCACTTATGAGAAGCTAGATAAGGAATCTGAGCCCTCTTCTGACTTGCCTAGCCTCCAGTCAAGACACAACCAAGAACATAAGAATTAGAATTATTTGTGTTCTGAGTCTTTGCCCCTAAATCTTTCTAACTAGTTTCTATATCCTGTTCTCATCAACATGACCTGTCAGTGTCTGAGGATGCAGTACGTGGGTACCTTTCATCAGGAGGGTGATATGCTTCTTCTGTTGACAGTAGACCAAATTTCAGAGACCTGTAGAGGAGTGGAGAACCTTAAATGAAGTCTGGCCATCAACAATTGTGTTTGGATTGATCAGTAGAAGCAAACAGGTAAGAAATAATTTATTTTGACTCTTTACTTCTTTCTTCTTTTTGTACAGTCTTGCTATATAGCTTAAGTTAACCTTGAATTCATAATCCTCCTACATCAGACTTTGGAGTGCAGGAATTCCAGGTGGAAGGCACCATCATTTAGGTTAGTAAATCATTTAGGAGACTAAGAATGAGAATTTGGAGGTCCTTTTGGCTTTGTCTGGATAACAAGATGACAACTGAAATCTTATCCCAGTTACTGGGATAGCAGAGTCCGTTGTAGTAAGCCATTTCTCACAAAGAGGCAGAGTGTGGGATGTGAGTCCTTGACTATCACTATTCTCAAGGCACAGGTATGATTCAGCATACCCACTGGCCAGTCTCTCAGTTCCCTCTTTCAGAGCTGCAGATTCTGATATTTCTAGCAGTACCTTGAGGGGTAGGGCCTGGAGCTGCCATCTTTAACAGGCCTTTCTATATACTATGTGAGATTCTGGCAGTGTGATGACCAGCATTATGTTCAATTGCTCTACCTTGTAAGTTTTTGTACAGTGTACCCAATCAGCTAACACTCCCAAGCTGGATGACTTCCTGGAGTATTTGGGCTGTTCTTAAAACCACCAGATCTTTGTAAAACTGTTTAACTACCTCTGCTGTTCTGTCAAGATAATGGGTCACAAGGTTAACTGCTAGTTCTGCTTCTGTACCAAATGCTTGATTGCTCAAGATAACCAAGGCATCTGCAAAGCATCTGCTATAAAAGTTTAGTTTTGTCTGCACTGCACGTAGGCAGGGTGTGTGCTAGCTCAACCCCCAAATTGTAACCAGTGGTTTTTGCCTTTATAAACTCCAGACTAACAATTGCTGGGGACACACTTTGAGAATCCTGAGTCTCGGGTGTGTATCTGGCCAGTATCTAATAAAGGTCTGGGAAATCTGGAAACTCCACAGAGACCCAGGCTTTCAGCCTGATTCACTTTTTTCTGATCCTAGGGATCCTGGTGTACTAGGAGCCAAGACTTTGCTTAAGCCGAGGGAGCCACCAGTCCTCAACACCTACATCCCACTGAGGAGCCCTGAGACCCTTGGTCTCTGGTCTACTGGAAGCTGAGAAATTTGGATAAGCCTAACGTTTAGAGGTGTCCACCGACAGGTTCTCCACGCCTGGATTGTGGCATCAGAAGCCCTCTCAGAGGTAAAGTTATGTTGGTAGCATGCATCTATCTGTGAGACTCATAGGAAAGCTGGACACAGAATTAATTCCTGAGTCAGAAGGACCACTGGGCCCTAGTCGCTTCCTTCTGGAGGTAAGGAAAGGCTGACTAGAGGCAGAGGTTAGCTGCTGAGTGGGAGAGCATTGTGACTTTGTGTTGTGTGCATTACTTTTTTGTGTCATTTCTTGTCCTTGAAGAAATTGAAAAGATGGGGCAAAAAAGTCCTCCATCCAGAACTTCCCCCCACTCCACCCCCCCGAGATCTGAGGAAGTCTCATTTTAAGAACTTCCAGAGAAAAGCCCTGGAGTCCAGAGAACAGAACTATTCAGGAAAACTAACTGCCTTTTGCTCTCTCAGTTGCCCTTCATTTCAGGTGGGCTGGCCTGCTGATGGCTCCTTCAAACTTACAGAGTACAACAGGAGGTCTTTAGAAAACCAGGGCACCCACCAACTCTGCTACATTCTGGCCTGGATGTTCCTGGTGAGGAATTTCCATCCCAGATGAGAGAGTACCAGCCAAACCAGCCTCCTAATGCCACCAGTTTTGTTTCAGAGGAAAGAAATAAGACCAAGGAGTGGGACAAATTTCAGCCCCCAGTCCTACCATCCCCACCAGAAGAAGATGTACTGCCATCCTGTTTGGCCGGGGCACCAGCGGGGGAGAGGAATTTGATGCCAGAGGCACTCCTGAGTCCCCTCACAGCCAGGGTGGGACCTCTTCCTGACTCCAGTCTCCTGGTCATTCACTATCTCTGACTGTGACCCCCCAATCCTCCTGTTTTCTCTCAGAGACTTCATTCCTGCCTGCTCTCACTGAGGTTGTGATAGAGTCCCCATGGCTTCCCTCTCAGGACACATCCTACCATGTCCCTGGTGCTACTCTCTGACATGCTTACCCCAGATATATGCCTCTAGCTATCCTCTCTTTGAAAAAGACCCCCCCCACACACACACATGGATGAGGAAGATGGGAAGGGCCATGAATCAGTTATGGTATGTGGTCCATTCTCCACTAGTGATCTGCATAACTGGAAACTCCAAAATCTCTCTTGGAAAAAACCCAAGGCTTGATCTCTCTGTTAGAAATGGTGTTTTATATGTACCACCTACATGGGCAGATTGTCAGCAACCACTTCAAACTCTCTTCACCACGTAGAAGAGGGAGGGAGTCTGATGAAAGGCCCCAAAGGCAGGTCTTGGGAAACGATAGGAGATCAGCTATCATTGATCTGGTGACAACCGGAGACGTTTTTTTTTCCCAGCAACCAGACTGGGATTCTAATTCCCATGAAGGTAGGGAGTCTGTCTTTTAACCTCTTTTACCAGACTCTGTAGGGGAGTCTTGAGGCCTTGGCTAAGTGTCCCACAATTTGTCTAAAGTAGGTTAGATAACTCAAGGTTTAGATGAGTCGTCATCTGTTCTCACATAGTGCCTTCTAGAAGCTTACCCAACTTACACACCCCATGGACCAGGAGGTCTCAGAAAACCACAGCACTGTCAATATAGCTTTTGTGTCTTGGTCAGCATCAAACATTAGGAGAAAGATTTAGAAAACAGAAGGCTTTGAAGCATAGGTACTATCAGAGCCAGTCAAGATTGCCTCCTGGGTATACAATAATAGGGACAGGCAGACTAAGAAACTATCTCCTTGCCAGGGAGGAGCATCTCAGCATCCAAAATTTATGAAAGAAGGACCAAAGCCAAGGGAAATGGATTCTGGGAATGGTGCTCCCTTAAAGAAAGGCCAATGTGCCTATTGCAAAGAAATCAGTCATAGGAGAAACAAAAGCAAAGATCTGCCTTGGTGCTCCAGCTAGCTACAGACTGATGGGTTGGGCTCAGCCACCACCTTTCCCACCACCTCCAGCTCAAGATAACTCTGAAGGGGGCAATGTTTCCCATCAATTTCCTTGCAGAGATCAGAGCCACTTACTTGGTTTTAAAGCAGGCAGGTGGCCAATAAGTAAGAAACAGATTTGTAATACAAGGAGCTACTGGTTCACAAATTTTGTTCTTGAACCACCAAAAGGTTTGTGGACCTGGGAAAGGGGACTGTGACCTACTCTTTCTTAGTCATAATTGAGTGTCCATACCTTCTGTTGGGACACTCCCTGCTTCACAAACTAAAGGCAGAAATACAGTTTGTAAAGGATGAGATAATACCTAGGTTTGGACTGCCATTGTTCATAAGATCAGACAATGGACCAGTCTTTCTGTCTGGGGGTCAGTTGCAAATTATATTGCACTTACCATCTACAAAGTTCAGGACAGATAGAGAGGAGAAATTGGAGCTGTAAAAAGATCTTGATCCAGCAGACAGAGCAGAGCACGGTGGTGCACGCCTTTAGTCCAAGCACTCAGAGGCAGAGGCAGGCAGATCTGAGTGAGCTGGAGTCCAGCCTCATCAACAAAGTGAGTTTCAGGACAGCCAGAGCTGTTACACAGAGAAAGCTTGCCTCAAAAACAAAACAAAACAAAACCCAACCAACCAACCAACCAACCAACCAACCAAACAAACAAAAAGACCTTGACTGAATTAACCTTGGAAACTGGCAAAGGATGAGTGCGGCTCCTCCCCTTACCCTTCTTAAGGCTCAACATACTACTCCTCGTGTAAAAGGTTTAACTCCATTTGAAATTCTAACCACCATCTTCTTCAATCTGTATAGGCTCAACAGCTGACTCAGGACACTGTGATCTCCTCAGTTAAGGCTGCTTTCCGAGGTTTACTGCTTTAACACGTCCTTTCCAAGATCAAGAGACACTGAGCTGAGACACTGGGACCCTGCTAGAAGAGAACACATCATCATCCTGACCTCTTCTGTGCTGTCAAAGTAGACAGTCTGTACCTGGATACATCACTCTTAGGTCAAGTGTCCCACTAGGAGCAAGACCCAGTTGACGAAAAGTGGACTGTCACCAAGACCTGCAAAGAGCTACTAAAGATAAGGAAGGGTACCATGGGTCTTAACCTAATGATGTTGTTTTATCTGGCTATATTTCCTTCTGTTCTTTCCTGGAATCTAAATTGGAAACCCCTGGGTCCCCAGGGTCCTAAACTGACCAAACCAGCCCTTAAGGCATGGAAGTTCCAGGTAATTGCCTTAGAAAATCACAACAAGACCGTAGCCTATACCTTCTGTCCGGTGACAGGATGTGCTAGTACTATAAGCCTCACCTTTGATATAAGAGACACCTGCCCAGGGAAATGTTTACAGGAGCGCTACAATGCTATGATGTCTCCTATATATGTTTGTTTCATGTATGAGCAAACACGCTCAGACTGTAAGGACCCAAATTATGGAGGATGTCCACACTGGGGCTGCAAATATCATAGTACTTGGCCCAGATGGGGAGGAGAAAATCCATCTAGACTCAACTCAGTTGATTGGCATACTAAAGTCACCTACTCAATCCCTGACCCCTGGAATGACAGATGGAGAACAGGGGTAGAGGGTCATATCTACAGACATAATGAGAAGGATACAGGCTACGACAGGAAGACTAAGATACTCATCTTTCGAAGTTTAGAGATATTTACACCTCCAAAATCCTCTGTTTGAATGCTATAACCAAACCAGCCACTATACCCGCTCCTGGCCCTTTGGTGATGTCACGGGCTGACATTACTTTGTATTACCACCACCTTTCTCTCTCTCTCTTCCCACTAACCCTACTTCTCCGACCTCCTTTGAATTCCTAATAACATGTTTATATCAGTATACTTGCTCATGAGTGTTACTAACCCAGATGTTATGCCTGACTGTTAGTCCTGAACCCTATAAAACTCTCACACTATGTAGGACTCACCGCAAGTCAGAAGCCCATTGAGCCATTCCCTTTGCCAATTGTCTATGGGTATTTCTTTCCACTCAAGCATCAAATTTCTTCACGTAGGCCAAATCCAAGGTGAGGGGACCCATTTCTACTCAAAGAGAGAGCTATGATACATCTAAATCCCCCTTTAAGAATAAATGAAGGTTCTCCATAAGTATTTCTCAGTTCCTTGCAACACTTTGTCTTCCCCTCCTTCCCTCCTTTCTTCCTTTCTTCCCTTCCTCTTTCCTTTCTTCCCTCCTTCCTTCTTTCTTCCCTTCCTCCCTTCTTCCCTTTCTCCCTCTCTCCTTTTCTCCCTCCTTTTCTCCCTTCCTTCCTTCCTTCCTTCCTTCCTTCCTTCCTTCCTTCCTTCCTTCCTTCCTTCCTTCCCCACCTGGCAGAAACTGTTTGGCTTACCAGTACTGATGAATTGTATCCATGCTTGCCTATCTGCCATACGCACAAGCCCCAAAATTCTGTATCTTGGTATTCCTGCTCCCCTGAAAATGTATTTATGATGGTGGTCCAGCAGGGAGAGAGTACTTGTATTCACAGACCCTGCCAGTCCCCCAGTCCAGGAAAATAAACAAAGTGTGCAATTCACCTCCTCATACCTCACTTAATCCTCTTAGACTTAGGCACAGCAGGAGCTGCTAGTGGTGACACAGGAACAGTAATGGCTGACGTTAACTTCAAAACCACAGCACATCAAACAACCCAAGATCTGTCCATATTAGAAAAATCTATTGCCAAGCTAGAAAAGCATGTGAATTCATTAGCTGAGATGGTTCTATGCAGATCAAGGAGGGCTTTAGGGGAGAATCGTTGCTCTTACGCAAAGCATTCAGGAATCGTTAGAGATAACTTGGCTGTGCTCTGGGAAAACCTCGCAGAAAGGGGGAGACAGTGGTTCTAGTTCTCATTCTAAAACTCCTCTTGGCTACTGTGCCTCCTGGCTCAGTACCTCCAGGTAACTCTGCCATCAGCTACACTTAGCTCTCCTCCTCTTGCTGATTGCTGTTGGACCCTGCATCAGTAATGCGTTAACCAGATACATAAATTCACACTTTGGTGCTACTGAACTAATGGTTATTTGGTCCCAGCATGAATAGGCACCCACCGCCAAGTCAAGGGTTTGACTCAGAACACAACCCCAGGGGAGAACGTGATGATGATTAACACCATGTTAAAATCCATAAACTGCTGTGCAACTGTTCTAGTTTGTAAGCTTTTGTAAAGTGTACCCTGTCAGCTAACTTGCCCAAGATGGATGAGTTCTTGGAATATTTGGGCTATTTTCAAAACTGCCTGATCTAGTCAAAATGCTGAACTGCCACTGCTGTTCTGACACAATAATGGTCACAAGGTTAACCACTGGTTCTGCTTCTGTATGAAAAGTGCTTGCTTGCCCAAGATAATCAAGGTGTCTGCAAGGCATCTGTTATAAAAGTTAAGCTCTGCCTGCATGTAGGCAGGGTGTGTGATAACTCTACCCTCAAACTATAACCTTGTGGGTTTTCTAACAATAGCTGGGGACACATTTTGAGAATCCTGAGTCTTAGGTGTGGTCCTGATCAATATCTAATAAAGCCCCTTTGTTAAAATTCCTTCACTGTCCAACTGGTGAATCTCTGAACAATTCCAGACCCATACCAGCAGCAGCCACAGCCACCACCACAGGAGCCGCAGATCTCCTGGGAGCTTGTTAAAAAGGCTCAGCTCCTGTGGTCACAGTGAAGTATCAAGGGGTTTGGAGGGTGACTATGAAAATACGTCTCAAGTATCACCAACATCTACAGGCATCTGCTGGCTACCACACTCTGCTTCTCTCAGGTGGAGGAGTTGGTATCTTGGTAGTCAGGACCTTCTGAGTTGGTGAGTTGGGCATTACAAGGCTGATCTATCCATCTCCTTCACTGAGGGGCCCACCAACAGTTCTGAGTCTCCCTTCATTCCTGCTGGTTCTGGGTTCAAAGCATTGCTTTAGACCAGACCTTAGATACCAATAGTTTTTAAAGCACCCAGGTGAGAAAAAGGGTATATCTCAATGTTCTCAGTATCCTTAGAACTGTGCTTCTTTTGGTTTTTTGAGACAGGGTTTCTCTGTGTAGTTCTGGCTATCCTGGACTCACTCAGTAGACCAGGCTGGCCTCGAACTCAGAAATCCTCCTGTCTCTGCCTCCCAAGTGCTGGGATTAAAGGCGTGCACCACCACTGCCTGGCTGCTTCTTAGCAGGTCACGGTCTCACAAACCTGTAATAGCAGCAACTGGGAAACTGAGAGAAAAGAATCAGAAGTTCAAGGTCACCCTTAGCTACAGTGTCCTTAGTACAGTGTGGATTTGGTCCATCTGCGAGGTACAGGCTTGAGGACAGGACTTCTGGCTCCAGAAGAACAGAAAGATATTTACATTACAATTCACAACAGTAGCAAAATGACAGTTATGAAGTAGACAGTTCTGAGTTGGTGGAGGAAGTGAGGCTTTGGCCTCAGGATGAACCACAGCCCACGGTGGAGAAGATAGGCAGTGTGTCAGGACAGCCAGGGCTACATGAGACCCTGTCCGAAGGAAAAAACCAACCAAACAAAAACCAACCAAACAGCTAAAAACAACAGCCAACTAAAACCTGTTTTTCTCAAACGTACCCAGAATCTTGTGTAAATCTGGATTCTCTTCTGTACTGCCGGCAGGGCAGTCCAGGCCAACGTTTCTGCATTTCTATCCACTGTCAGAAGCCATGCTGCCACTGGTTTGCATCTTCTGTGTGAACAATTAAAGCAGCCATGGTTCTGCTCAAGGATAGAAATCAGACTCACCAGGGAACTTTGAAAATCAGCCATGTGTGGCCCATCCTCAGATATTCTGATGTAATGATGTTCGGGAATCCAGGAACTGGAAATCATAATGCTCTCCAGATCAGTGGTTCTCAACCTGTGGGGTGAGACCCCTTTGGGAGTAGAGTGACCGTTTCAGAGGGGTCACAGATCAGATCTCCTGCATATCATATATTTACATTACGATTCATAACAGTAGCAAAATTACAGTTATGAAGTAGCCACGATGGCTGGGGTGAGGGGAGTCATCACAACACCAGGAACTGTGTTACAAAGTCACAGTGTTTGGAAGGTTGAGAACCGCTCTACTAGATGACTGGACAGTGCAGCCAGTTGGAATGTGCGGATGTAAAAAGAATGAGACTGAATAAGACCAGTGCTCTGAAGGTGTGGATGCTACTCCGTGCCTTACCTCCCTTCCCGTGGCCACTTCCTCCAAACAGCTCTCTGTTACCTAATCCAGGCTTTAGAACAATCCATAAAAGTGTGGTGTCCTTAAACCAACATTTCTTAGGCCTCTACTTCCTAGAAATTTTCATTTAGTCTGAACTGAAAGGTGCCAAATGATTCTCTAAGCTAAAGGTTCTTGAGTAGGATACCCCCATTTGATAGGGCCTTGTCTGTCTTCCCCACGGTGGGCTGTGGTTCATCCTGAGGCTTACATCCTACTTCCTCCACCAACTCAAGAGCAGGCTCATCTGGCTCTTCTCACACTTCTGGGGCCAGAAGTCCTGTTTTCGAGCCTGTACCTCACAGTTGGACCAAATCCACAAGGCTGATTGGCATTGCCCAGACTTCTACCTGGGCCCAGCTGTACACTCCCTAACATGGAGTCTACTTTCCTGCTAGTCATATTTTTCAGTTATGCAGCCCCTGACCAGCAGCTCTAGAGTCTCAGGGTAACTCATCCTCTTCTCTGCCACCAACAGTGAAGTCTCACAGGTTCCCCAGAGTAACTGCAGGCTGTTTTACCACTGCTATCTGCCAGACTCGTGTTGCCATCCCATCCACAGTCTCTGGTTATTTTTAAAGCTGTCTTGACAAGTCAAAGATTCTATTTAATTCATGAAAGTATTCTAAACACTTCTAGGGATGGGGGAAGATGAAACCGTGGAACACGTGGCTCTTGAAAGCGGGTTTCTTCACTGGTGGTGCTGTTAGACTTAGTGCTACTAAGCTTATTAGAGACAATCATGAGGAGAGAGAGAGGCTCAAATACCACTTAAGATGAGTTGGAACCTCTGCTGGGAATGCAGGAACTGAGGCTGGAGACTTGTTGGAACACACTCGTTCCCAGATCCGGGATGGGAGAAGCCTTTGAAGCTGTGTCTATCAGGCTTGATCCTCCCAGCTCCAGAGATAAAGAGAAGATGAATGAGATGTTATTAGCCCTATTATTTATACTTAGTGGAGTTCGCATCTGGAACCCGCTTTGTGAAGTGCTTCGGGCCCTACTGAGTTAAATGAACCTCACTTCCCCCAGCATCACTTCTGGGCAGAGGATGAAGGCTTTAGGTAGCTCTGGAAATAATCACGTTTCCTTTAATTTAGAGTGCTTGTTAGGCCAGGCCTAATGGGAACACACATTCCTTTAGAGTTTGGTCTTTATGAGAAATTATGTCTTTCACAGAAACTCGTGTGACTCAGTGACCTAGCATGGCGGGCTTTGAAGGAGCTCCATGTTCTCCCCTGTTGAAAGATCGTTTGTGGCAGAATATACAAATGTGATTCACAACCAGGTTGGAGAAGACGGACAGAAGAGAGGCCAGGAGAAGACGGACAGAAGAGGGGCCAGGACTGTGCTTGGCTGGAGTCTCTTCTAGAGGGTATAAAGTAGAAGATGAAGTTTCAGTATACCAGAGCTGGTACATTACCCACAGGGGCAGTATCTTCAAGTATGCGTCAGGGTCCCCCGGAGAACTCATCCAGCCCAAGACTGTTTCACCCAGTGTCGGGTCTCTTACTTAGTGTCTAGAAATGAGAATTTGCATTTTATCAAGTTTTCTGGGTGATGTTATAGTACAGAAAATGTTCATCTTTGAGGGCGTGCTTGGAGATCTACCGAAGGAGTGTGCTGATCTCTAAGATCTAGGATTCTGAAAAACTCCAGACAGCAGTATCTTTCTTGATTAGCAATTTTCTCTCACCCGTGTGCAGATTCTCCTCAGTAGGGCCGAGTTGGGCAGGCAGTCTACACTTCTAGCACATGCACAAGGTGTGTGCCATTGCCAGTCTGGGAACTCTGACAGGGAACAGAGCCTTTAACAGTATGAATGTCACCAGTTATACATGGATTCATTTAGGTGTACTGATACTTATAGCTCTACACAAATACCTATATGCTCTGTGTTCAGCTTCAAGACACTTAGCTCTGTCACCACCCCAAGACCTCTCATGGAACGTACTCCATACACTTAGCCCCTCCCTACTTTCCTTGTCTACCTAACTCTTGGCAACTTC